AAAAAAAAAAAATTTAATTTTTTTTTTTTTATGTGTAGCAGTAAATAAAGCGCGTCCCTTTAGCTTTAAAAAAGTAAACAAATAAAAAAAAAAATAAAAATAAAAAATAAAAATAAAAAAATTTTATATTTATATTATTATATTATTTATATTTTCAAAAGAAAATATTTTTTTTTTTAAAAAATAAAAAAAAAAGGTTTAAAAGGTTTTAAAAGATTTTAAAATAAAGGTTTAAAAAAAATAAAGGTTTAAAAAAAAAGAAGGTTTTAAAAAAAATATTTTAAATTTCTAAAATTTCTAAAATTTCTAAAATATTTAAAATATTTAAAATATTTAAAATTTTAAAATTTTTAAGGTTTAAAAAAAAATATTGGTTTAAAAAAAATATCTCCTTTGAAAATAAATATATTTTAGGTGAAAAAAAAAAAATATGATTTAATATAATAAATAATAAGGGAAAAAAAAATAATGATGACTATTATTGGTTTCTGTTTTTCGACAAAAACAAAAAGTAGAGTTTTTTTATTTATTTATTTATTTTATTTTATTTTATTTTTTTTGAAATTGGATTACGATTATGTAATAACCAAAACCAAAAAATATATATATATACATAATAATCCCCAAAGATCAAAGTAAAAGAATAAATGTATTACCGGCATATTTATATTTATACTGTAATAAATTTCCATTTCCCAAAGAAAATTGAAAGGTTCAAGTCCCCCTTTCAATTTATAACCGATTTAGTATTAAATAAGTAAAGTAAATGAGTATCCCCGATTGTAACTAAAAAAACTATGACTAATAAAGAATCGACCATATGGATATCACTGCATAAATTCACCAATAATTAATGATCATTAAGAAATACATGCATTTCTAAACGATAAGTTCAATACAAGATATAATTAATAATTTGTAATAAATGATCCCGATTATTATTAAATACTATAATAGTAATGAACAATATAACTTTATTATTACTACTATATTTAAAAAAAATTAAAACACCAATAAACTGAAACCCATCATTTTTTATTATTCTCATCATTTGACGTTCTAATAAAAATAAAAATTGACAATAAAATTAAACTTTAATTAATGCAAAAGATGCAAAAAAACAACTTCTTGCTTACACATGCATAATATCTTCCAAAATCGAATCCTGGGACCTTTTTTATCCTTACCCATTGTGGAATGAACATTGTTTTTCTTTTGACCTATTGACCTATAAATGATTTAATGACTAATAAGTAATGACTTTTCCCCACAAAAATTACTTATATCACGTGAATACAACATGTCATGTATGTTATAATTACATTTAGGCCACATGATTTATCTCTCATGCAGTAATATTTAATTATTAAAGTTGAAGACGTAAAATCGAAAAAAAAAATTATCATGAAAAAATTTTTAAGATGATAAAACGTATAATTTCTATAAATGTTTCGAATTCTAATATTGATGTTTCGTAAAAAAGATCATAATTTCAAAAAAAAGAAAGATGGGAAAAAATTTAAGATATAAAAAGAAAGTATAATTAACAAACATGGTTAACTCAACAAAAAAAATCAAGAAAACTTTTTTTTAGATGTTTTTTATTAAAAAAAAAAAAATTAAGATTTTTTTTTTTTACAAGATTAACGGAATGATAATCTTATCATTTCTTAAAATGAAAAAATTATTAGTAAAAATAATTGTTATTTTCCTCGTTCATCATATATTAAATATTTCTGGGAACCCCAAAAAATTAAAAAACTTCTCTTCTATTATTCCTATTTCTTCTTTGGTTAACCTTATTCACCGGAGCATGATAATGATGCGAGAGATTCCGAAATTTTATTCTATTAATGCAAACATCAAACATTTTGAACGAAAAATGAATTCTTTCTGTACAATCTATTTCATGTACCTTATGATTGAAAAAACCTAAAACATTATTACTATAAAAACGAATTCAGTTTTATTGATAAAAAAAAAAATTTCTTTTTTTTAAAAAAAATAGATATTCCAATTTCAATAATTCCAATAGAATTTGGAAGTATAAACAAGATTTAAAAAAACTTGTTAAAGTCAAGAAATTAAGGTTTAGTTCAAGTGTCAATGGATGTTTGGTTACTTTTTTTCGAGTGACACAAAAAATTGAATTAATTACTACCAATGAAAATTCAAAATAATCATCATTCCAAAAAAAAAAATCATCATTGTCGTATCTAAATACAAGGGCCGGTGTCCCAGCACACTGAAATTAATCTCCCTATAAACGATTTTTAATTAAGTACCGTATTTATACATGGTAAACAACGTACGATGAACCTTTTTTATATGAGTAATTGAAATAAGGAAGTTATTTATTTACAAAGAAAACGTGTAAGAAAGATATCCAATTAAATAATATATATATATATATATTTTTTGAATGAACTCACTTTTTTGTAATAAAGTTTTTGCAGAACAAATTAATCTCTATTTAGAAAGAAGAAACTTCTCAACAAAGATTAAAATGGAAAATATCAATTAAAATGAAAACATTAACGGAAAAACAATCAACTATTTTTAAATTACTTCACCAGTTAGAAAAAAAAATTCACCATCGCGTGCAGTTACACAATTTACACCAAAAGTCAAGTAACAGGGTGAAAAAATCCAAGTTTTTCTCTATTTGGATTTTTTATTATTTGTTTGTGATTTACTTCAGCCTTATGATAATGATTTGTTACTTTGTTACTTCGAACATTTATTGTTTGTATTTAGATGTTACTTTTAAATTAAAGTTAAATAAAGTAAACCAAGTCATTAACCAAACATTTTTTATTAAAAATTTTTTTTTTTTTTTTAATAAACGAAGCCAATTCCGGAATTTAGGAATTTTTCAGAATCGTGGAATTTGGATTTTTTTTTTTTTTTTTTTTTTTTTTTTTTTTTTTTTTTTTTTTTTTTTTTTTTTTTTTTTTTTTTTTTTTTTATTTTTTATTTTTTATTTTTTTTTTCTTTTATTATTTAAGAAGAAATTGGATTTAAAAAGTTACCAATTTCCTTTATTTGGTAATGACATTATTTAAAATAAAATTAATTGTTTGTAAAGATTTTAATTAACATACAAATAAAAAAAAATAAAAATAAAAAAAAAATCGATTTTTAATTTTTTTAATTTTACACAAATTGAGTTTTGTTTTGTTTATTTAAAATAAATTCATATTTTTGTTTACTTTTTTTTTATTTTTATATTTTTAGTAAATCAAAACGAATCTAAAAAAAAAAATATATGTATGTACGGTATACACATAATATATATATATTATTTTATATATATATATATATATTTTGACAATCAAAAAAAATGTATAAATAGAGGATGAATTTCTAAGAGCAAATAAATATCATAATTATAAGAAGAACAATTTCTTATTAACGACAAAAAATGAACTGACCCATATACATTCCTTTAATTTTTTTTTTTATCTTAATTTATACACTCGTTTATCATTTTATATTTTATTATTTAAATTTTATACGAGCGAGCATATTGATATGGACGAATTCAAATGTGTTATCTTCAAAGGACAATCCATGTCCATGATTATTATTATTTTTTTTCACTTTTTTCTAAAGAAAAAGGATGATGAACTTTTATGAAAGACGCAATTAGTAATTTTAAGCAAGGTTTGTAAATATTTTTCATATTATCGAATCATTAATTTCGAAATTCGAATGACTTTCGAATGACTTTTTATTTTTTTTTTCTTTTAATAGATTGATGTACTGTATCATAATTAAAACACTATTATATGCACCAAGTAAGCATATAGTAAGCATAAAAAAATAAGTTTAAAAATATATAATTTTTTTTTTTTTTTATTATTATTAAATCGGACAATTATGAAAATACCTTTCGCTTTTTTTTTATTTATCAAATCTTTTAAAATTTTCGTTTATTTTTTTTTAACTTCATTTAATCTCGCACATCGCGTCGCATTTATCTTAATGCTATTCGGGAGTTTAAAAAAAAGTTTTCAATATATTTCTTTTTCTTTTTTTTCGCGTTTTAGTTTGTAAATATTAAATATTATTTTCGAATATCGAATTTACATACATATATTTTTATATATATAAAAAAATATATACATACATATATATATAATATAATATATATATATATATATATTTTCTTTTTTTTAATTTGCCCCGACAACAATTTTCTATTTTTTTTTTATTTCGTTAAAATGTTAATTTTAAAAATTATGACTTTATGATTGATTATATATATATCTAAAAGTGTAATAACATTAAAAAAATAAATACGAAAAATTATGTATGTTTTGATGTTTTTTATTTTACGTGTGACTTGTACTTTTTCAGGTGAATGTGTGAATATTTGAACATGTGTGAACATATGTAAAATATGTGTGAAACTCTTTCTTTGTTATATACTCTTTTACATATTAGTTAATTAGGTACCGTATACAGAAATGTGAGACCACAGTACGTGAGATCAATGAAACCGAGTACCGAGAAACGTTAGACCGAATCTAATTACAGTAAATAAATGAAAATTTTTTAAATTTTTTCATTTTTTCTATGAATCGAACGAATAATATTTTTAGTTACACTAACCATAGCCGTCATTTTTTTAGTTCCTAAAAATAATTTTTTATTGATTTTTACTAAATCCGTTGTTTTATGAGAACTTTTTTTTTTTTTTATTTTTTTTCAATGTATGTATATACTGTATATTTTTTCTAACCGATTAAAATATTAAAAAATGGATCAAAATCCATTTTTTTTTACCATGCAAGATTTATTTTGTATTATCAATTTTCATATGTAAAAAAATATATATGTATTCTTTGCTTTAATTGTTCTTTTGACAAAAAAATTTTTTTTTTTTTTGCACTAATTTTGATAATACGATGAATTAATAATATTCTGTTATCCGTAAATAGTATCGTATTTAATATAACCATAATAGTATAATAAAATAAAATAAAGTTTCTTTGAGGTAAAGGTAATTGACACGCCAATACCCGACTAACCCGAGTAACAATTAATAACGTGATGTTTCTCGATTTGGAAACTCGTCGGTCGATCCTTGGACACAGGATACAATTATGAATCGATTGAATCGATTGAATCGATCGAAAGTTAAAAAGTTTTTGAGTGATCTTTAAAAAAAATTTATATTAAGATAAAATTATATTACCTTTTTTAATTTTTTAATTAAAAAAAAAATTATTTAATATCAAAAAATTATTATTATTTGTTTAAAATTATATGTTTAAATTAATAAAAAAAATTTTCTTTGAAAAAAGTTTTATTTTGAAAAAAAAAAGTTTATTAAAAGAAACTTTTGAAACTTTAAAATATTATGGCGTTTTTTTTTTAAATGAATTCTTCCAATTACTATATTTCGTATATATTGAACTTTCTTTAAAAGTATAATTTAGGAACATTATCCGTAGTACTTGGATTACAACTAGTAAACATATTTCATTGAATCATCTTTGAAATATGTAGTAAGTAATACCCTTAATGGTTGTACTGCAGCACTTTTGTGTTAACCTTCGAACAAATTATATCCTTTCAAGTTTCAACGTATTAAAATGATGTAAAAGTATTGGACTATTGGTTAAAGATCAATATCTTTCCCTATTCGTTAATCATTTACGGAACATAGTCAATCATACTCAAATATAATAGTTATTCGGCATTTCATGCCGAATAACTATTATTTTATTATAACTTCAGCCCACATTTCGCCAAGAATTAGCCTATGGTTTCACAAACACTTGTTCGTAACGTGTTTTAATATATGCGTGATTTTTTTAAAGATCATATATACCGATTATTAGTCAAAAGTATTACATATTGATATATTAATTCAAAAGATCATAATCTATTTATATTAGGCGTAAATATTAAAAGAATTTCTATAGGCGTTCGCGTATTTTGATTTGACTCAATATATTACACGAAATTTAATTTATTTTTCAAATCATCCATTTTTGACTTATTGAAAATGTTACTTTTTTCTCTCATAATAATAATTTTTTTGATTATAAAATTTATCGTATGATATTCCCCTGAAATTAGTGTTACATTTTACATGTAGATGAGATGCCCCTCCTTCTTTTTTAGAACAAAGGAAGAACAAAGGAAACAATAAAAAAAATATCTTTTATTGATAGATATAGATCATCTAATGAACTTATTAATCAGGTTTTAAAAAAGGGAAATCTAAACGGATCATGACGGATTGGAACGTGACACTAACTTATGGTTTTTCTTTTTTTTGAAAAGTTCAAGTTTTGACATTTGAGAATTGACCACAATAATAATTTAAATTAACCAATTTTAGTCTCAAAGTTCATATTAAAATGAAATGATTCGCGCAAATCGATCTCATCAAATCTGACGACTCTGTCACGTCACGTATTCAGAAAACGGTATAGAATAGAATTTAAACTAGTTTTGAAGTCGAGTACTTCAAAAAAGTTGATTTATCAAATTTATACCGATTTTATGTATTATACCGATTTTATGTATCATTTATACAATATATAGTACAATATGTCTTTGAAGATCAGATCATGCTAAATATATATTTTATTTTGCATATAAAAAAAAAATGCATAAAGAACATTATTTATTTATTTTAAAAAAGTTTCTATAAAAAAGCGTAAAAGGGTTTAGTATTAAAAAAAAACGTTATATAGTACATTATTGTTTCATTGCTTTTCGGTGTACGCGCTTAGGGTATCAATTATAATGGCATCAATTGCATAAATTGCATAAATTGCATAGCAAAGTGCGCTCTCATAACAAACACCACCTGATGTTTTAATCACCCGGATACAACAAATTTTGTGTACCATGTGACGTAGAAAACTGCGTCCTTCGGTCATGTGATCTATATAGTATTTTTAAAGAGGTGAAGCTAAAAAGTTTTTTTGAGCATTTTCAATTCTTTTATCAAGAATTTCTTTGTAATTTTATTAATTTTATTGTGAAATTCGTTGTTAAATAAAACACGAGATGCGTAAAGCTTCTCCAAGGTTGGCAAAATTTCCGAAGGCGTCTGTTATTTAGACCATTTGCCAATAATTTAATGGGCCTTTTAAGATTATTATTTTAATATGATTTATTCGGTGTGGCCTTCTTTGATAATAAATTCAACGGTAGATACGGTAGATACAAAAAATTTGCAAATAGAGTAGAAATCTCATCTGGAAAGAGATACGTCATCATAATCGGAAATCGGTAAACGTCAGATAGCTATAGTATTTGATGATGAAACTATTTACAAATGCTAGTAATTATAAATCGAAGGATATTCCCAAATTAGTCTTTGTGTAATTATCCAGGAAGTGAACTACTACGTCATATTACTGCGTGAGCTACGCCTACGTGTATATTTGTGGTAAGGTACTACTTAAATAATGCATGATTTTTGTCTCAATTGAAATAATGAAATTATGTAACAAAAAAATTTTCCGATGCACTAAGACCAATTGTATTCGATGATTAGATTTTTCGGTTTTAGGATTCAAGGAAATGTCAAATCTGAGCAATGATTTTTTGTAGTTTTTAATACAAATAAATTCTTAAATTGTATCATTGAAATATTTCCTTTTTTGGGTTAATGTTAGTCATAGTACAGACGACCTTCTTAAGATTGAAATTCTGACTAAAGTTTCCTATTTTGGAGTTTAATTAATTAACTTTTTATAAAAATCGATTATGTATTTGATCATCCACGGAAAAAGTATACAAGTTAAAGGGTGATTTTGTAAAAACGTAATTAACGTTTTCTTTAAGAAATGGTTCCTAGATTAAAATTTGTTAAAATAGTAGGTTAGAAAGGGGAATTTGCTATTTTTATTTTTGAATGTTATTAATGTTCTTTTTTTCTTCTTGGAATTTGACCTGCAGAATATGCAAAAGAGTGTAACTATGTAATGGGCTAATGGCATAATGGCATAAGATATTTTATTTAAGCCAGTTAGAGTTCAGCTTAGTTTAAACTTTAAACTAGTATTTATCAAATTTTATTATGGCTTAATTTAAATAGCTTTAAGCTAAGATTAAGTTTAGCTTAACTGTTAATATAAAATTATTATTTTTAAATTTAATTAGTATATTTTTTTCATTTTTAAAAATTTTTTTTTTTTAAAAAAAAAAATAATAATAAAATTAAAATAATATTTTTTTTCTTTAGAAGATTTATTTGCTATTTTTTATAATTTAAAATTTTTGGATTTTACCTTCAAACTAAAATTTTAGTAATATTAATATTAAAAATATTTTTTTTTATTATACTTAAGGAGTCAAAGAGGAATAATATATTAAATAATTTACATCCTATCTGCTTGCATATTAAAAATATTTAAAGTTATTATTATAAAAAAAATAATGTTATATTAATTAATTTATTTATATTTATATATATAATAATAATAAATTATTATTAAAAATTTAGTATTTATAATTATATATTATAAAATTTTTAAAATAATAAATAAAGGAGATTTTCAAATTAAAATTTTAATAAGTTTTTTTTTTTTATTATACTTAAAGAGAACAGTGATCTTTATTTATTTAAAGGAAACATTACAAGACAATGTTCGGCAAATGACTTGAAATGACCAAATGATTCAAATGACAAATGTTTTAATGCTCAAATGACAAATGACTTTAGTCATTTGAATGTAATTTTAGCCAGCACTATAATTTTTGCCTACATTACATTCATTATTTTTTAATTATAGTCACATGATTATTTATGTAATAAATATTAGCCAATCAAAATTAAATAATTGAAATGACCAAATGACAAATGATTATGAATAATGACAAATGATTCCATAAATCATTTAAAAGGTCAAATGATCAGATCATTTCCGAATACTGTTACAAGAATCTAACCTATTACTATAAATAATTTTCACTCTACCTGCCTGCAAATATACCCTATAAGTCTTTTATTTTCTTAAAATTATTTTAAAATTATTTATTTATATATATATATATATTACTTTTTATAAATAATATATATAAATATTAATTAAATAATACATATAAATATTAATTAAATAATACATATAAATAATATACAAATTAATTATTATAATTTTTATAGTTTAAAGGTAAAGTATTCCAATAAATTACAAAAAAATTTTGAAATAATATAATTACTTATTTAAATTATAAATATATACATTAATATTAATTATATACTAATATACTATATACTATATAAAATAAAGATAAATTTAATGTTTAAATTTTGCTTTAAAATATTTTATATGCTAATTATTTAATTCTAGTCAGAATTAAATATGTCATATGATTTAATGAAAAAAATCTGAAAAAAAAGTATTATTAAATAAATAAATGATATTTAAAAATCAAATTATCTTTATCTTTGATACTTTAAATAGATTTGTAAAGTAAAGGAAAATATATATAGTAAACATTTTTAAAAAAATTTGTATATTAAAAATTTCTTTTTTTATATAAAATGTAAAATTTTAACATTATACAAAAAGGCAAAATATACATTTTCTTTAAAAATAAATATAATTAAAATAAAATTAAAATCATTATTTAATAATATATTATCCCTTAAACTGTAGGGGCTAAAATTAATTTAAAAAAATTTTGAATTTTTAAAATATCTTATGATCTAATGATCATATGAAATTTTTATATTATGAAAACCATAAAATAAAGTTTGTATAATCTAATTTAAATTTGTTAAATAATTAAAATTTAATAAATTATAAATTGTTTAATTAAGAAAAAATTCTTATTAAATATATAAGTTAATTTAACTACTAATTTGAATATTTTAAAATAATATATAATATATAATATATATACTATATATGTGTAATTATATATTGACAATAGGAAATGCAAATTGATGTTTATTTAGAAAATGGAATTACTAATGACCATTAAAAAAAAGAAATTTCTAAGAAATCATTATTATTAAAAAGAGAAAGTGAAGGAAAAATACAAAAATGATAAAAATGATAAAAAAAAAGTCTTTTTCTAAGACTTGTTAATTTATTTTAAACATTGTTCTTAAATAAAAAATACAATTTCTAAAGTAGAAGATTTAAACATAATAAAAAATATATGATCTTAACCAAAATCATTCAACAAAAAAATTTTTTCACATATTAAAAAAATTAATTTATATAAGATATTTATATATATATTATATAATTTTATTAAAAAGTTTATGTAAAAAAATTAAAAAAATTTTTAATAAATATAATTTTAAAAGAAATATATAATATGTATTTTTATTTATTTTTTAAGTTTACTTAAAATATTAAAATTGATTATTTTAATTTATTTAACATTTTTTTTTTATTAAATAACTAACATAGAAAATTTACTTTTTTGGAAATCTGTATTTAAAATACTTTGTATACAAATAGAAATTATCTAATAATAATATTAATTAGAATTTAAAAATAATTTAAAAATAATCAATTGCTTTCTTATTTTTAATTGTTATCAACTGGCTGTAAATTTAGAAAATTATATTAAGTCTATCTTATACAAGACTCTGGACATTTTTTATATAGATCATAACTGACTTTTTGCCAAAAAAAAGGCCCAATTTGCTCTTTTTTTATTTTCAGTTTTTTGTAATTATTTTAGCATCCAGTGATCTGATTCATGTGATTTTTTTTTATTTTGTAGAGCTTAATGAGAACTACAAAACCAAAAATATTCGCATAAATTGGACTATTGAATGCCAAGATAATTGCAAAAAACCTTTTTTTTTTTGAAATTTAGGGTTAATTTGTGAAAAGTCAACCTCCAAGTTGTATATGTGATATTTGGGATCCTCTTTATACCATGATAGTAATACAAAAATTAATGAAATAATTTCTGCAAAATTTTAAAAATATTTTAAATTTTTTTAAAAAAAATGAAAATGAAAATGAAAAATTACATTTTAAATGAAAAAGAAAGTCTGTGTTATGTTACTTGACGGAAATAAATTATAAGCCTTGTTTGACGATTTTGGTAGTGAACAAAATGCACAGCATGCGAAATAAATTTATTAGATAATACTGGAATTAGTTTAGAAAAAAAAACAAATTAAATATAATCTTAATAGGATAACTAATTATTATTATTATTATATAATAAATTTCTTAATAAATAATAAATTAAAATTGCATTTTTTTTAAAGTAGAATAATAAATTGAAATTTAAGCTTTTAAAGATTTTAATAAAATAAGATTAAAATTTCTTCTTTATATTGTGAATATTTATATTATAAATATTCTGTATATTAATATAATACTTATTTAGAAAAAGATGAATAGCAATTTGCTAATAATAAGTAATTAGTAAAAAAAATAAATTGAAAATATTAAAATATTACTAGCAAAATTCTATTATTATTACACTTTTTGCTAAAATCTAGTTATAAGGATTTTAAAAGTACATTAAAATATTTAAACTAAAACTTAAATCAATAATATAAAGCTTGATAATAACATATTCAAATAATATATTATTAAAAATATTAAAAAAAACAAGTTTATATGGAATTGGTAATAAATATATTTATTATATCTGTGAGCTTATACAAGATTTCATAGTTGAATATATCTTTCAAAAAGAAACAATAGAAATATTTACAAATATAAGATGAATTAGTTGCATAGAGCATTTTAAAAATAATCCATCAGTTATAAGTAGTTTTCTGAAAGAGTTAGATCAAACCTGGGTTATTAATCTAACTTGTATTTAGGGGTCAGGTTAGGATCATATGATTTGATGACCTGTAACCTGCATAAACTCAACCTGACCCGTCAAGTCAAGTTATACCTTACTTTGATCTAGCAACCCGAATCTTTTATTATAATTTTAACTAAAAATTAATTTTTTTATATTAAATACAACTTGACGGTCAAATCTAGATTATTTGAATCAGACTATAATTGGATCAAGTCAAATCTGAGTCATTACTTCTACACTCAAATCAAGTTTGAATACACCTCAAAATCCAACTTCTTTGGAATACTAGTTATAGGATTTTTTTACTAAAAAAAATGTATTGCTAGTATTTTTAAGAATGAATATATGATGGATTTTGTAATTTTAATCCTGGTAAAATAGAATTTTTTTATAATGAAAAAGAAATTGTGTTTTTAAATGAAGAGAAATATGTGTTTTATATAGCCATTCCAATCCTAAGGGAGAGTAATTTTTCTCCAGTATTTGGTTAAAGTTAAAACTAAAATTATCAAAATATAAGGATAAATTGAAAATAATGTTCATATGAATTATACATAAAGGTGATACAAATCTATTAGTAACCCATTAACTAAAAAAATGATAAAATTATGAAATTAATCCTAATTATACTTGGGTAGCAACTGGATTTGTGAATGTTAATACAAATATTGATAGATATCTAAATACTGTAATCACAAATAATGATCACACTCAGTCTCAAATCATTAAAATTGAGGAATAAACTATGAATCTGATGAGAATGAAGAACAAAAAAGTGCTCAAAGGGGAAAGAAAGAGGCTAAAGAACAATCAAAGAAGGGGAAGAGGAAAAGGGAAAGACCAACAAACAATAAAATTAGTAAATATAAAATGAAATGGAAAGGATGAAAGGTAGTCAAAAAGGATATAGCCAAATACTCTGGAACACAATATAACATAATAATGTCCTATAAGAAGGAGGAAGCATCTCATAAAATGAGTGAGTTACTATATATTCCATAATGCCTAATGTTAATTCTTTTGCATTTCAGTTATCTCTTATGCTTCTGTGATTTCTAAAATAAATTAACCAATTTCCTCCGTTTCTACATTATGTTTAAATTTCCATGTATTTCATAAATTTCATAAAAATTATATTATGCAAGAGAACTTGAAGTAATTTCGGATCTATTACAAAATTCCGGAGCAAAAATTAGCCAAAGGGCAAAACAAAACAATATTTCTTTCTTATAAATCAGCATTTAGATTTGATAAACGTTTTCGCCCAGGCATGTGACACATACAGATGACGATTTTCTGGTGTATATTTCGATTATGTAAAGGCAACTTTGATTTACTTACACAAGGCGTATAAGGGATTCACTAACCAGTCTCACCTTTTTATAAATTCGCAGTGGGTCATCCAAAAAACTGATCAAACAGACGCTCCTTAGGAAAATTTGATGCGATTAACAAGGGAACAAGGGATATCGAATTCAATGCCTCGGAACAAATAGATACATATGATTTCGAGCCGAGTTTGCCCTATATCATGTGGTAAATGTGAAGACTCGTTACGATACCGATAAATTTTAGGTTATAAAAAACCGCGACATTTTGTCCCGATAAGTTGTATGTAAAAATTTTTTTATTAATACAAGCAAAAATAAATACAAAAGTTCAGGTCTCTGCCTGTGATACATGATAAAGTTACTACGTATCCCTATCTTGGATACATCTTGAGAACTTTGTAAAATCCAAACACAATTGCTACTATGAATTTGGTCATATGATTCGTTCTGAAAATTTGATTCAAATAAACTAAATAAATCTCTACAAATATAAATTTTGTTATACATGGTGCGATTTTAGCTTTAAGTGAATACATGTATTGTATATTTGCAATTTTCTTATTTTAATAAAATGTATTTTTAGAAATATAATTTCTACTTTTTTTGCATTAAAGATTTGTTAAAGCCACTATGCTAGAAAGTAATAAAAATTAAAAATTAATTAAAAGCTAAAATAATGTAACTTGACTTTTTTCGAGGAGAAGTTTGATTGTCTGGCAAATCATTATCAGATCTTGACCTCTTGCTCTGTTTATTTCTTAAAGCTTCTTTCAAATTATTGCATTTTTTATTTGATAGTTCTATATTTTGCTTAATACGAAGCTAGAGAAAATAATAGAATCATAAGAATAGGCAGATAATTTATTGTAGGAATGTCTTTAAACTTACCTTGGCAACAAGGACTTCGTGAATTAAAAATATTAGATCTTCTACATCTAATAATGACGATAGTACCCGTATGAATGATTTTTTCGAAATCGGTATAACCTGCTGAGAGGTCCATGATGTCTTGTTGTAAATATTGCGCTTGATAATTAATAAGGATACAGTATGTTAGAAAGGTATATGGAACTATATTACAAAAAACGTTTCTTACCCGAATGTCCTTTCATTACCTATGGCATATCTGATAAGTATTTCGTTCCACTTTTTCCCATAAAAAGTTTTCCCTCTTCACTAACAGCATATTCTTCGATTGATGTAATCTCTAAATTCCATCACACTTCCTGCCAATTTTAGACCTTGTTTTTGCACTTTCTCTTGCTTTATTTTTCGTTCTGATGATGCAAGTGAGCATCCTTCCCCCCTGAAAAAATTGGTCACAACATAATTATACTGATAAGTGAAAATTCAAAAAAATACATTAAATAACTTACCGGATAAACTCAACAGTGTATAAATAAATAAGGCATGAGTCAATGATTATATTCCATATATTAGAGTTGAACTATCCCTTCAAGCGTGCTCGAGTAAAATCTCCAGATCTCAATTCATATCTAGGCTGACAAATAAATACAGGTCAACAATTTCATTAAAAATATGATTGGTTACTCACAGGTTAGCAAAAACTTGATAGACATATTGATAATCAAAGTGTTTTTTAGGATCATATGGAGTCATGTCTATCTCTGCATTAATTTTATCCCGCATCTTTGAAATATCAGTCTATAGAATGAAAAGGATGTTATTATTGAATACAACATTCTCATTGTACTTGCAAGAAAGATGATACTCACTTCATTAAATGTAACAAGGTATTCCATTAGCCCATCCTCTAATTCAGGGTCAGCCATAGCATTGTATGTCTTGATATATTCTTGATCTTCTTTATTAAACAATTTCATTATACTTCCGTTTTCGATATCAAGAATAAAACTATGTGATGGACTGGTAAAAATATTAGATTAGCAGATCATAGCTTATGATAATAGATACTTTAAACTTAACACTACCATTCACAAGGGAGATCCTTTGTATAATTAAAATAATTACCTTCAACATAACTTCCGGATGGAAGCTTCCATTTTATATCATTGCACATTACGAGATAGTTTTTTTGAAATTCTTGAAACTGACGAATATCTACAACATCATTGCTGACCTTCGATTCTGACTGTAGTAACGCATCATTGCTCTTATTTTCATTATCACTCTTATTTTCATCATTATCTGATTAATCGTTATCAATTCTTGGAGAAACATTTGGGACGAAACGTCATTGATCTGTAAAAAACCAATCAGAATAAGAAGAAAAGCACTAGCAATCGACAGAAATTGGCCCGCATGTGAGATTCTTCAAGATATTGTAGGGTCAATTCTTGCAGTCCTTGATGCAATTATCGAAGGATTTGATGATAGAGCAGTAAGCTATTAAAAGAATTTACTCGTCCTACCGTAGTATCGCGTATGACGTTCCAGACTAGACGTGTTGTAACAAAGTCACGTGGTTATTCAATTCGACTGTGCGCATTTATTAGAGTTAACTGATCCATATTGAGATGTTGTTAATGGGAAGCAGTACGATGTTTTATGAATTTATAGCCATGGATACATGGATAAGTAAGCTCCATAGTATGAAAATGTGAGATTCAAGCTAAGGTTGCTTGCCTAAACCTCTCCAAAATCCTATGATTAATTTCTTTAAAATTTTACTATAGTTTATTATAGTTTTGCCAAGATTTTGGCAGTTTTAGCATTTATAATAAGTTTTGTCAAGTTTTGCTTTTTTTCAGAATTTTGTCAACTTTTTAATAAAACTTTCATATAGTTTTGGCAAAGTTTTGTTATTTCAGCATTTTTCTAGCTTAGCTGATCAATTATTTGATATTTCATCTTTTAAAAAAACTGATCAATTTAGTGTTATAGTCTTTGATGTTCTTGCATTTTTACTAGAAACCCATCTAAATATATATGCAAATCTTAAATATATTTCATTGCATCGTGAATATAAAACATTAAATAGTAAAAACAAATTCTTATAAATATATGTAATGAATATAAACCTTTAACAAAAAAAATTTATAAGATAATAAAAATACTTTGTAATTATTAATATCTAAAAACCATTTAGTAATTTTTTATTAATTAGATTTAGATGAAACAAACCTTTGAAAAATATTTGAACTTGAAGTAATTTATATTTTGTAACTTTATTTATATCTAAAAGATGAAGTTTAATAAAGGTAGTTATGTCTTCTGTATAACAAATTGGAAATTCATAACTCTGATTTCTATTAAAAAGTATTATGTATTTTGAAAGATTTTTTTTTTATTATAAGACAAACGGTAATTTTCAGGCTTTTTAGAATTTCATAAGTCTATTTTCTTTACACTTTACAGCAACTAACCAGTTTTTTTTTTCTTTTTCATTTTTCTTTTATTTTGGTAAAATAAAAGAATATAAATAAAAAAAGATGGATTACAAGAAGTATATAATTAGTAATAGTATTATAAGAAAATTCACAAGTTAAAAAATAAGGAATTAGTTCTATTATTATTAGTTCAGAAAATCGACCCTGCCCATTTCGAATATTTATCAGACAAACATTTTTTATACATAAATTCTTTATCTTTATATAATTTTTTAATTATATAAATAAATTTATTTTTGGAAAAGAATTTTGGGTTATATTCAAAAAGTTTTTTAAATGGAATATTAGTTATTGCTTTTACTATCTTAGGAATTTTAAACTATATTTATGATTGTATTGGATTATAGAATAATACGCAATAATTTTATTGGTTATATAGCTGATTTAGTAAGATTATACTTTACTAAATTTGATTTAGCTAGAAATAAAAGGTATAAAAATATTGCAATTATATAAAGTCATTTATGATTTTACTTGTGAATTCAAGAATATTTCTATGCAGACATTATATGTAATTTGTGTAATACTTTATTTAATAAAATAAATTTTTACAGAAAATAGCAATATATACTGTAAACGGTTGATGGTATTTCAGTTTAGTTAACCATTTATAGTAATACAAGAATTTATTATAAAACTCAATCACCTATACTATGCGTCTTATATTTTTTTTTTTATATAATATAGCAAATAAGCATTAATTTATCATTAATAATATTAAAGCATGATATATAAAAAGTTACATCATATATTCAAGTAAACGTTCCAATTGAGCTTTCTCTTCACGAAACATATTCTCATCATAAGTTTGAATTGAAAATCCAAAATCAATCAAGCAAATACACATATCCTTTTTCATCAATCAAAATGTTTTCTTTATGAATATCATTATGAAGAATATTATACTCATGAACTTTTTTTAATGTCATAATGACTTTATTTTTTAGCCATTTATCTATCCTATGATGATTCAATAAAGTACCAACAATTGTCATTCCCATAACAAAGCTCATTCCATTTGCCAAATCACTATAAAATAATAATTTAGGAATATATATACCCTGAAGTTTAGCAAGAACTTTATAAATTTTAACTTCATTCAGAAATTCATCCAGACATTTAGATTTTTTTGTTAAATCAATACTTTTTAAGGCAATTGTTTTTCCACAGAATTCACACTCAAGTACCTTCTTATTATTTTCTCCAGCACTTAATAATCTATTATACTTAAAATCTTGATAGTTGAATCTTTGTACTTCTATGCTTTGTTTTCTTTGCTTTCATTTTTTTGATATATTTGAATATGATTGCTCAGAAGATAACCATTTGAAAGATTGGAATGATTGTTTGAAGAATGATTGTTTCTTTTTTTAGAAGGATTATGACTTGAATTAAGATCACCATCATCACAATTATCATGTTTAGGTTTTCGAAAAGGATATAAAGAGTCATCAGGTTTTTCAATGATTCTAGGATTAGAAGAATAAGTATTATTCTTAGCTAATTTGATTAGATATACATAGGACTTGAGGACTGATGGATGTATTGAATTATATTTAATATTCTCTGAAATGAATAGAATGTGACTGTAGCAGGTTGTTTCAAAGGAGGAATTTGCCAAGCTCTAACCTATATATTGACAGTTCCTTCCCTACTACTCTGCATTATTGACTATATTGACTAAATTGTTACTAGTACTTATTACTATTATTACTATTATTAATATTATTAATACTATTACTAGTTTTGCTATCTACCCATTTCATAATTAATGTTACTATTCTAATCTTTCATTATAATAAAAGTTTTTCACAGTTTCTTTTCCAACTTTTTCCCAGTAAGTTGACAAATTTCACGTCTAACAGTTTCAAACACATAATCCAAACTATCCCTTCCTCCTTTATTTGAATTAAAAACTTGTCTAAAATGGCTTCTTTTTTCATTAAGAGATAAATTGGTTGATGAACTAGAATTACTGACTGGTAGAATTTCCAGATGAAGAGCATCACTTCCACGTGATTGATTCAAAGCTTCAGATTTATTGGACACACTATTGGTCAAAATCAACACTTCGAGCGTCTATGTAAATTTGATTGATAGGATTTTTAATACCTGTGGTCTACATTCTTGTCTAAACTATTTTACTAGTACAATTTCCCAACATTAACTCTGATTTGATGATATCCTGGATAAAATAAAATGGTATCAAAAGTAATGAAAATGTTAACCTCAATAATAGTATTATACAATCTGAAAAAAAAAGAAAGGACAATGTGTGAATTATATTATTCCGGAAACAATCAAAATTGTAATGTTACTTACAATATTACAAAAGTATCAGATTTGATCTTCCCAGTGGACCTCACTTATTGTACAGTAAAATATATTATGCATCAAGTTAAACCCGTCACATAAGTCAAGAACAATACATCTGCTACTACACTTCACCGTATAAAACATCACTTGTTATAAACTAATACGTATACTATATAATCATTATTTATATTATGCATAGACGTGAAAAATAGACAAAATACAGTGAATCAAAAAAGATTCGGTTGATATACATACAATGCAAAAGACTATGTATGATTAACGTCCAATCATACTTAATTTACCGACCTGTCTACTACTTATTGTAGTGGTGAACGGAAATACTGCATTGCCTCAGTTGCTAAAAATAAGCAAATGAAAGATCAAGAGAAAGAATTGCATAGTGAAAAATACATTGCCAAGAGTATCGAGAAGGTGAAAGAGCTAGAGAAAAAAATTGTATAGTAAAGAGTGCGTTGCTGAGGGTATCAATTTTGTTATTGAGACAAAGACACTGGCAGGGATGAAGATAAATTTTCCTGCAATTTAGCAACAATACTTGCAAGAGAACATGAGATAGTTGCAGTATAGTTGGAATTTACACCCGATGGCTGTATAGCTTACCTTTCTAAGAACTTTGCTTGGCTTCAGAACGATCTTGCATATATCAGCAGAATCACGACCCACTTGGAAAATAATTACATACTGTTTGACTAAGTTTGAATTTCGACTTGAAAAACTTAAGAATGATATAAAGAGGGGTCAAGAAGAAGTATGATGATGTTATTTCTTTCATGGGTTATACTTCAATCGATGCTAATAATATAGATACATTAAAAAAAAATCTAAACTGAATATCCGGTCTTTGTAACAAGTATTATAATGAATTCAAATTCAAAGAAGTTCCTATGTTTCATCCAAAATTTTTAAGACATATCAAGAAAGTGGGATCTTATGCTGGGTTTACGAAAGAAATTATAGTATGTGCGCGTAAGACAAAGTACAAACCCCTATTCTCTAGCTCTATTATCATAGATGATCAGCCATACTTTCGTGGAAAAATATTATCAGAAGGTTTGTTGATGATAATAACTATGAACGTTTCACAGATGAATGTTTGAAAGATGAACTTATAATGAAGATACCAACTTCAGCTGAATGGTGACGTTAAACGTTACATATATTTACATGACGAATTGAACATATTATGGACCAGAAAATTAGGAATAGGGTGTTTATTACAGTATCTAAAAAATGTTGTTGAACTATATATTGATTTGGTACAAAAACAAGGATATAAAGTAATCATTTCCGGAAAGCTATAGTGGATGGAAACTTCCACATGTATCAGATAACAACTTTAAAATCAGATCCCTGAAACATATGCTAGACATCTTGACCGAATCATAGAGAAAAAGGTAATACAAAATGCTCGTAGTATAACGTCAGATTCTGATAATTCTGGAGATAGTACTGATAATCTTGATGATGTAGACTATGATGGTATACCAAGTATACAGAATAAAATTTGAGTAGTGGAAGGAAGCTTCTTCATAAAAAATGAGTTACCTAATGATATTTTTTTTGCTACATATTTTATAAATGTTGAAATAAATTAGCCAATTCTCACATAAATATTCCATTTAAATATCTACGCTAAAATTTCTGTAATATTAGTTTATATATCATTTTAAGATTTTTAACCAATTCACGCCTATATATTCGTGATGTGCCAAACTTTGCAGCCAAATTTAGCGATGTAATTAAAATCATGAGAACTTTGCAATTGAAAAACGTATTAACGATTATTATTTTCTAGACAAATATTGAATGTGTTAAATGATAATAATCGGGACTTTGCTCGTAATATATGACAAATTTTCTATGCTAATATCCTGATTTCTGAAGTGTTAACTCAAGACACATGTCTATCCTAATTATCTATTTTTACTCGCTTTCCATCAACCAATGATGATTTCTGCTGAACTTGATTTGCCCAAATAATTTCTTGATAGGCCCGACTAGGTCATCACGGGATAATGATGGGTAGTTGATAGGTAGAGGTGTAGGCGTAAGCGAATACAAAAAAACTTTGATCTTCCCATCACCATTATCATTCCTATCTCCAATACCACTTTGAACTTTTGTTATTACCCAGTCAACACTCCTTATTGATTTTGTAACGTCAAAGTTTTTTTATCTTGAGCAGTTCCATTGATCAGATTTTCGTGATCAAGTTAACGTAATTCCTATTCCAAATTCGATTCTTGGGCCAATAAAAAATGAGGCCTAGTTAGCGATTACTTTTATCCGCCTTGTATAAGTAAAATAAAAAATTGAGCAATCCATTATCAGTCTGATTATGCATTGATCCCTTCCATATACGCTAATTGAAAATATTGTCCATAAATTTCGGACATATTGAGAAAATAATCATGCAAATTGGTGCAGTGCTAATTTTGTTGTTACATGCCTTAGTGTAGTATAGAAAAAAAAATAGGACAAATTCAAAAATTATGGAACTTAAGAAAGAATCACAACAAGACAGAGTGGAATGGTATGAAATGAAATACTGTATAAAGGTAAGAAGTATTGTTAGATGAATTGCATGTCGGAGTATGTTGGTGGAAATCGATTATAATCAACATCTTTCACATGATTTATTTTAGTTGGAGTGATATAGATAAACACCAGAACATATGGTTTCATATAGTGAATAGTATAGAGTAGTGGGAAAGAAGCTCGAGAAATTCTTCCCTTTAAATGACTACTCCGTTATATAATCAACGAAATCAATAACTGTACACAATAATTTTTCGCTTGAGAAATTTTCAATGGTTTGTTTATTAAGTCATCAGTATAATACAATAACAATAAAGAAGTTAAAACTTATTATATTTAATGCATAATGCGTTATTGCTTTATGTTATCAGAACATTATCTGCTTCTTAGTTCCATCTAAGTATTTCTGTTTTCTGTATGTTTTAAAACTTTCATATAAAAAATATAAGCGAATTTCATTCCTTTGATCCAAGATATCCTTAACTTCCTTTAACTTTTCTTGCTTGATCCCATGTCTGTCGGCAATAGTGATTCGAAATAGTTTATTAGGATGAATATAACTATCTATACTTTGATAATTTTTGGCAACTGGCTGATAGTAAATTCCTTCGCTAATGTCAATATTCTTGAACCTCTTCTTTACTAGTTCTTCAATATCACATTCGCTTCATTAGATTGCTGTCCAAGATAGCGTACCAAAAATTCCCCTCTTTTGCATGTGACTACATTTCAAACATCTTCCCACAAAGAACTGCCATCCCCGCAAGTCCCTTGAATACTCAATAAAACTGTGTAAATCTTCAATGTGATCTTTTTGAAATTTCTCTAAGCACATATTTTTCCACGAAATTAGATGTAAAGGTGCAGATTGCTTTGGTGTATGAATTATCTCCGTATCCTCATTTGTTTTATGTGAATTAATTTATGAGAGAAGCCATCACCTAAGAAGTGTTCGCCCTGAACTCTGAGCAAACTTTTTAAGCCTGTGCGCCTTCAATCCTCAATTTAATTTTATCTGGTGTCATCTCAATATAAAAAATCCATCTTGCAACCCCTCCATACTAAATCAAACTTTTCCTTGATGGAATTATAATTAAATTCTTTATATAGATCCAATTTCCCAAGGTAGGTGGCATGTAAAATATTTCGCTCTTTTGTGCTTTGGTAAATCTTTCAATGAATTGCTTCTTAGGCCATAATAAACTTTCCAATTAAATCATGATTAAATTTGGGCATTACACTATCAATGATACACCATACGTCCTTTTTTTCTGCAATTTGTCTATATACTGTAGTGTCTATATGTCTATCATTATTTTCTACCTTAAGTAGATCACCATTAGGAGAAATACGTGTCGCGAACCCTTCATAATCGATCAGAACTGACTTGTTCCGTTTAATAAGCTCCACTAACATTAGAATTCCGAAGTATGATTTGCCAATACCTGGGTTTCCAGTGATGCAAGATCGGTTCAATTTATTAGCATTGATACCATTGAGTATAAAGTCACGCAAATAGCCGTAACGCTTTCGATTAAATACCTTTGAACTCATTAATGTAAATTCCAGTATTATTATTATCTTCAATATTTTCTAGTGCCTTCCACTTCTCGCCTCCTTCGATAACCTTCCATAGCGTTCATCGATTAGCCTTAATTGAACCTTTCATCATTCCCGTTTAACTCTTTTCATATCAATTTCTTGAGTTCAAAAACGGTGAGTTCGTCTTCACGGAATGTTTTATCACCATAGCGTTATTCTCTTTAGTAATGTGAATCGCAGACGATTCACAAAGAGGTTTAGTTAGAACAACAAAAAATAAAAACACATTCTGACACTATTATCTGCAAACACGAAAAACAAGAGTTAAAAACATGGTACAAAAAAAAGTTTTTCAGTAAAATACAAATGAAGACCTTTTTGGATACGTTAGGCTAGCGGGTAGAGACCTTTCTTCGATTTTCGTCTGTTCTTTGGTTGGCGAAAGAGTTTGTACCTAGGATGGCGAAAGATAGTTTGACGAGACATTTTGGTTATATGTCACATATTTATATTTCCATAAACTAACTGTCAGTAATTCAAACTTTGACCTTTTTCTTAACGAAAAATTTTTATCAATCAAAAAAAAAATCAGTCACATGATACGATGTCACATGAGAGTGCCGATCAAAATATTTCCTTGCAATGTTCCGTACTTCCGTACAAGACATTACACAAGTAAGGTAAGTTGTGGCTGTGCATTCGCAAAAAGGCGACTTCAGAGCTTGCAAACTAATATCCATTTTTCGTTCAGAAATTTCAGGGGATCTTATTGGCAGAGAACATAAACTTTTGGTGTGTTTTACTAAGGTCAATACTCATTTTATTCTATCCTGAATATCGATGCTGGGACAAATGGAAATTAGAGTTAATGTTGGCTATTCCATAATTTCTGACAGAACTTTAGGACGCAATAACTCATCATCCGGGCATCCGATTCATACGATTTTAACATCATTGGAATGCTCTCATCGCGCTCTTTCTAACAAGCTGAGAACTGCACGAATCCAATCACTGGAAGGCGAGATATTACATTCTAAATATAAGCTAGAATTATAACAGAGTTGACCAAAATTAACCGCTGTTACTGACATCCGACATTTGGAACTACCATGAAACCGAAAATGCACTGCAGATTTTATTGCGCCGACCGACATGAATTTTCTGCGACGAAAAATAAAAGGCGCCGATGCATGAGTAACTTCTTAGCAATAAAAAGGGTGCAGGGTTAGGCCGATAGGCGGACTATAAATAAGCAATAAAAAAAGCTGCAGAAGTAAAATAAGTGAATAACACATGGATAGTTCCTTAGCAACAAAAAGGTCGCTAACACCTGGCACATAATAGTCTATACAGACACATTTACAATCTGATAGATTAAAATAAATTACAATACTCTAACACATCAAGTGATAATATGTACCAATTAGATTATAATTGATATAATTGACTAATATCAGTAATATGTACCCAATTAGATTATAACATCACAGGATAGTTGATTAATATGTATCCAATTAGATTATAATTCTAGAACATTAAAATCTAGACTAAAGATGTATTAATATATTAATACGTTTTATAATTTACAAAGCTATTCTTAAAATTCAGAAAAAATACTAGTATGAGAACTCTTTATTTAATAAGTATTAGTTATATACTAATCTAGTAGTAAGTATATGGATGATGACGGGCAGATGACCCATTTATATACTAAACTAGGATCTTATCATCCTGGATATACTAATTGGTCCGCCAGTTTATGACTGGCGGAAACTGAAAATCCTAAATACCAATGGTGATAATAAATATATAACAAACTTTTATATATATGATATAAATTATTGTAATATCAGAAATATCAGATATGGCAATTTAAATCATATGATAAATTTGGCAGATCACTTAATCGTGGAAAAAAAAGAAATAATTTTGACCAGAATTATAAATTGTATCTTAAACAAGCGATTTATTAAGAATATCTTCTAATAAATATACTGTATATCGTATTACTTTTTAATACTATAAAAAAAAAAAATGAAATCACAAATCTTAAATCTTTTACTAATTTTATTAAATAAAAATCCGCTATGGAAGGTTTCATATGTTCTGTATCTGTCTCTTATACACATCTCTTTTACTAATTTTATTAAATAAAAATCCGCTATGGAAGGTTTCATATGTTCTGTATATTCACTTGATCTAAAACTTTCTTATTAGTTAAAAATGGGATAAAACACAATATGAAACTATGAAACTAATCATTTTTTTTTTTTTTTTTGATAAAGTAAACAAAGAAAAATTTTTCACAATTTTTTTTTTTTGTACAAAGAAAATAAAATAACCAATAATATTATAATCGGAGAAGCCAAAAAGGGAATAATTCTCTTCGGTTATAAGGAATTTTTTTTATAGACAAATTAATAATACAAATAATCTCTTTATTACATTACATAAAAAATAATCTCTTTTACTACATCCCACCTGACCTTATGAATTTTTATATCCGGATGTGTGAATATTACTTGATATATGGGTTTTCAATACTAAAAAAAGTATATCTACAGGAATTTGTTAATTGGTCAAACCTAAAGATAAAATTACAAACATTTAAACACAAAAGATGCTTAAATATCTGAAAAACAATAACAAAAAAAAGAGAAAAAAGAAAGTATCAAAATATAAATATTTAATAAACTTTAAAAGCGACAATTTAGACAATTTAGGATAAAAAAATAAAATATTCTACCTTATTGCCTTATTATAGAAATGTTATCCCGGTTCTTTCCAGTTAAATTTCCATTATGAGAGAGAGAAAGGTTTATTATAAATAAATAATAATAATAATTTAATTGTATTAAATTTTCGCGCCATATTTCTAAATCAAAAAGTATTTATTAACATAAAAATAATCTTTGTTAATATTGGTCAAACTTTAAAAAATGTTTCTTTATAATCGTTCAAAGATTGATCATCATTTTTAAATGTTACATATGTATAAGAAATATCATAAGAATGGCGTAGTTTAATTATTTAATATCTCTAATGTAGCGCAGCATGCACTTAATATGCGTTATCGAGCGAAGTATGCATATCCGCTACAAGCGAAGAAACTCCTAACTTTTAATTATAACTTTTAGAGGCTAACCACATTACTTATTTATCTTGGCACAGATTTTATTAATTTTATTTATACGACCAGATTGTCAATGTTTAATACTAAATATGTATAATAAATAATGCAAAAAATTTTGATTCAAAGAATGAGTTGAAATGCTTGTTTGTTTTGTGAAGATTAACTTATTTCTTTTTATAATAAAAACCTAATAATTAAAATTAATCGCGGACGCAATTCAACTATAGTAAATCTTTTCTCTCCCTAATTTTTTTTTATAAATATGTCAATTTTATTAAACACAACATAGAATAAATGTATTACAAAAAGATGATTTAATAAACAAAATAAATTATATTATTCGGGAACTCCCGAATGATCACAATGTAAAATGAATAAAAATTTCTGATTCGTTAAACCATTAAAAGAACCGTGCGTTTAAGCAGTTATTAAAATCAAAAGGAATCACCTTTGCATTTATTTATCGTACATGTGATCAAAATCAGTTGACTTCCGAAATTTAGTAAATTTTTTTGAAATTCTTTAAATTTAGTAAATTGATGTGGGAAATTATGCACACATTTTAAAATCTGCATATTGCATATATTACTTGCTTGCGCCTCTCTACATATGAATTTCATGCATTTCATGCGATATGTAATAATCAATATACAAATATACAAGCATACAGTATCATAATACGTCACTTCATCACGTACGAGAAAAGGATTAAATTCGCGAAAAAAAAAAGTGAAAGGAATATATTATTAAACGGAATTAAAGTTTGAAATTACATGATAAATATCTTTTAAGCTTGGTTTTTTTATAAATTACAAAAACAAAAAGAAAAAAAAAATATTAAAAAAATTACATGTATATAATAATTACAAATGTTTTTTTTTTTTTACATAATGAAAACTAACGAAATTTCTTTCTATTTATACATTTTTTTTTTAAAAAAAAAA